ATGTGGGGGGCTCCTTTGTCCCCCCAAAGATCCAGGATGAGGACGTTCCCACCTACCAGTTAAAGAAATGATTTCACAGGCACTTAGTAGGAACATTCCATTGGTGTCTACATCAGGCTATAGGAGTTTTGTGATGTTCTAAGTTTACACCAGAACCGCTCTGTAACTAAGGGGCTGTAACCCACCATCACCAGAGGATTGTCTTACATCTTATCTTCATGGAGCCTGCAAGTCAGTAAACCACCACGCGAGCCAGGCACACTAGCAATTATTTGTTATAACCTCACTAGAGAGTAATACTAATTGCGGTGGTTTGAATGAGGTTGGCCCTCATAAGCTCATCTGTTTACATGCTTAGTCCCCAGTCAGTGAACTGTTGAAGACGGGGTGAGGGGTGTGGCCCTGGTGGAGGAGGTCTCTCACTGGGGATGGGCTTTGAGGGTTCAAAAGCCCACATCAGGCCCAGTCACAGTCCCTCTCAGGTTCTCTCTCCCTCAGTTACTGTTCGCGCTCTATCTGCCTGTGAGCCACCATGCTCACAGGTGGCCCTGGTAATGAACTAACTCTCTGAAACCGTAAGCAAACTCCCTGCTAAATACCATCTTCTTCTATAAGTTGCCCAGATCATGATGTTTCCTCACAGCAATAGAACAGTAAGACACCAATAAATTTATCTGTAATTTTTGAGATAGCCCTAATATATGCTATAATGGCCTTGAACTTGCTACGCAGCGAAAGATGAGCTTGGAATTTTGACACCCTAACCTGGTACCCCTTAGGCACTGGGATTATAGTTTATGCAGTGCCAGGGACTGAGCTCGGAATTTCATGCATGCCAGGCAAATACTCTGCCCAACTGAACCGTAGCCCCACATCCATATGGGAATATCAGTGCCATACTAGACTGTTATCTCATGGTGGGAAAACTCTCAAAGCTTCCGTGCTTTCAGCTGGGTGTTGGTTTCAATTGTAGAAGTTATATACTTAGCTCCAAACCAGACATTAAACACTGAGCTGAGCCGGATTGCCCTGGATTCTGGCATACTTGTTACAGGAAACAATAATAATTTTCAGAATTGTACACTGTACAGTTTCAACACCCGCAAGGCAAAAAGCCAGAAGCAACTGGTGTTCTGCTAACTTAAGACAATCAGATATTCTGAGACAAGCCTATAGGTCCACAGTATCATTTTAATGAAGCTTGAAATGGCAAATATTTACGTGATCTATCAAATCTCTTTTCTTCCTGTAGAGCAAGAAAGGCAGGGACAGAGAGCTGGGATTAGGGATAAGTAAAGTACTACATGTAATTTAGGAGGTCTTCAATGATAGGGTAAAGCATGGAGATTTTCTGCTGTGGAGAAAGAAAAAACAACCAAAAAAGAAAGACAAGGATGTGGTACCTGCACAGCCTTCTCTAAGCCCAGAATCTGGGGTGCATTTTAAGGCGAATGGCCGCTTTTGCAGCCATGTAATACTTCTGCCCTTGTGTGGTGCTTTAACTGAGACTATCTGCCAAAGTCTCTGGCATTTGAATACTTGGTATCCAGTTGGTGACACCGTGTGAGTAGGTTTAGGAGGTGGCCTTGCTTGAGGAAGTGTGTCGCTGGGGCCAGGCTTTGAGAATTTAAAAGCCTCCAGCCATTTCCAACTGCCCTCTCAGCTCTGTGCTTGTGGTTGAAGATGTGAATCCCCAGCTTCCTGCTCCTGCCACCATGCGTTTGCTCCCCAATCATGGACTCAAATTCCCTAGAACTGTAAGTCCAAATAAACTCTTTCTCCTCTGAGTTGCTTTCATCATAATATTTTATCACAACAGGTACAAGATAACCAATATACCTTGTTTGTCCTGTCAGAGCATTATTTTTCTCTTATACTAAAGTGGTCAAACTCTTTCCCAAAAGAAAAGCCTGCCCATTTGCATTATAATTTTTCACAGAAAGGGAGTCCTTCCATGTGCAGCTAACCCAACAATCCTCAAAATCCTCAAAGCTCACGTCATAGTTAGATGTTGGACAACCGGTGCCCTAATTGTCAAGGAGAAACGATGCTGAAGTCTGATTCTGATGTGTGGGCCATGCCATTTCGCAGTAAGACAAGTGGCACTGTGATTTCATACAGTTTACTTTCCATCATAGTACTGTCCTCTACCCCCTCACCCAGATTCTGGAAATGATGCTGAAGGGTTCACCAACCTGTATCCACTACACCAGCTGAGGCACCAAAGACAGACATCATGACAATCAGTAAGATTGCCTTCTTGCAGAAAGGAATGAGATAAAACCCAACCGTGGTAGCCAACATTGAAACACCTAGAAAAAGATAATAAAGCCAGCTATAAAAACAAGTATTCTTAAGGGTCCCAAGTCAAAGAAACATCGTAAAAAATTCAAAAAACAACACTGAATTAAAACTGTCTGGTTTTGGCCTGGGCATAGCTTTACACACCTTTAATCATAGCACATGGGAGACAGGTAGCTAGATCCTTATGAGTTGGAGCCCAACACGGTCTACAGAGATTGTCTGCAGCTAGCCAGGGCTACATAGTGAGATCTTGTCTCAAAACCCAAACCAAAAAAGGTAAACCCAAATCACAACAACAACAACAATGTTTGATCATGACTCAACGAGAGATGCAGTGGCGATAAGTGATGGTTTCATCTAAAGCTTTTATGATAGTTAGGGACCATAACAATTAAACTGCTATGGCTTGAATATGATTCTATCATTACTAATGATCGAACTAGAAATTATAACACAAGATATATTGTATAGTGTGTGAGTCAGTCCCAAAGTATTTCTTCAAAAAGGATTTTTATGAGGTAACAATGTAAAAACAAGAAGTAAGACTCAATCATTATAATAGATTATAGGAAAACTTTACCAGATAAGTTCGCTTGTGGGATAAAAGACAGGAAAAAAAAATAGTCTTTCATTCCATGTTGGAAGTAATGATTACTCATTCATCAGCAATAAATCAACCTTGCTTCCGAAGCACTTTTAGTATAGTAATCTAAATTGTCTTTATTCACGCCTCCTTTCCAGGGTCGAGATCCAAGAGGATCAGTCTGAGCTCAACCCTGCCAGGGGCAGCAGGGCAGAAGTGCAGCCTATATCATCTCTCTACCGTACCCTGTCCCTTCATCTTCAAGCCCAAGGCCACAGAGCCTGGCCAGGTTCCAAGAACGCTTTCTGATCATCATGGCCCCAGAGCATGATAAGCAGGGTTTCATGGTCAACCAGTGCATGTGCCTGGAGGAGAGCCTAAAGGTCCACACGAAAGGTCTGCGTTCCTCAGGGTTGCCAACACTCACACCCAAGAAAGAGAAAAATCTAGTTTCTAGGGGGTTCAGTATGGATTCCATCCAGCAAAGGCTAAGGAAGCCAAGCCGCCAGGAGGATGCCTATGCCCATTTCCGTTGCCAATCATTCTGCAGCCCATGCTTTTGATGCTCAGAGTCTATTGGAAGTTCATTGAAAAAAAAAAAAAAAGTGATGTTTACATTACCCAAAAGTAAAAAATGGTTCATATAGTCAAGGAGAACTCCACCAATCAGAGTGCCACCTAAAAATCCAGAGGCCCGGCCCACAAAAATGATAGAAAGGCTGCTGATGTTTCGGTTCACATTTCTTGCCAAATCTTGAAATGTAGGCCCAAGGATGGCAACGCTCAGCCCCTAAAATTTAAACAGAGAAGAGCTGTAAACTTAGAATCGTTAAAGTGACGTTTATTTAAATGGTGGCCTTTCCATTATAAAAAACGAGAGGGAGGCTTACAATGTAATATACAAGTTCTTTTTATTAAATCCTTCACAACTAGAGGTATATGCCCCTGTGAGATTTCTTCTACTCAGCTATTTTCTGTTTGTTTTTGTTTTTGGTTTTTGGCTTTTAGAGACAGGGTTTCCCTGAATAGCAGACCAGGCTGGCCTCGATCTCACAGAGATCTGCCTGCCTCTGCCTGCCTGAGTGTCCAGCTTCTACTCGATTTTTTAATTTTATTTATTTGGCTTTGGTTGAAATTCTTTTTAGATTTTGAAGAACACCTGAAAAGAATTTTCTGTATTAATAGTTAAAAAGATATATAAAATTTATTCTCAAAGTATCTTATTTTAAATCTACTCCATTTATGACTAATATAGTAATTTAGATGTCAAGATTTAAATACTCAAACATCAACTTATTACTCATGTTGGTTATTTTTTTTTTAAGCAATACTTCTGGCATGCATGGGTTTCTTTCTCTGAACTACACACATTCAATATGCTGGAAATCAACTATGAATATTTCTAGATCTGTAGGTTTCTCTAATGAAATTCCAAGACCACCAGGAAGGCTTTTTATAAGGCCTCTTAGTATATTTCCATAGCCATGTACAAAAAGGCTTTATCAATAAAATGATGCCTGCACAATGTGTTGGCAAGAACCAAGAGGGCTGAAGAGAAAATTCACTTGGTGCCTCTAACAAAACCGTTTCTAGGTCATCTGTCTACATTTCAGGAGTAATGGTGTGCCCCAAACCAAATGTGCTCCCCATCTTAGCAGCCCGAACCCAGGACTAAGCAATATAGTTCCATGACAGCATCCCGAGGAGTGAGGCAGGTGTGGGTGCTCTGTGCTCCCAGAAACTGGGCAGGAAGCACAAGCCCAGCAGCAGTCCTACCCAAGGAGGCAGTGTCTAAAAACACTCAATCTCAGAGACGAAGGGCGCTGCGCCCGGCTACAGGCCTGCGCCACCGTGCGGCCTAAGCGAGCAGCTCCCGGCTCTCACCACCTAGGGGGATGCAGAAAGTCACTTTCCCCTCGGGGCCCCTTTTTTTACGTCTAGAAAACTACCAGTTGACGGAACTTGCTCAGGCCGCCGGGAAGAGGCCGCGCGGCGTCCAGAGCTTGCGCGGACGGTTGTGGAGGGGAGCAGGGGAAGGTCGGGTGGCCCTTGCTGTAGCTCCTCCGGGCGCACCCAGCTGACCGTCTTGGGAAACACATTAAAGTGACCCGTTTGAGTTGACCAAACAAACAAGCAAACAAACAATCCCTCCAAGATCACTGCAGTGCCCGTTTCCTAGGCGGGGAAGCGGAGCCCACGGGGAGGGGTGCTCCCGAGCTCCCGCTGCGCAGGCTGGGGAGGCCGGGCTGCAGCCGGGGAGTGCCGGTTCCCGGCGCCAGCCCGGGAAGGCGTCAGCCCGGGCTCTCACCAGCCCCACGAAGGCGGCGTACAGGACCAGCGTGACGAGCCAGCGAAGCGCCGCCCCCGTCCGGCCGCCGCGCCCTGCCGCCGCCGCCTCCGGCTCGCTGCGCGGCGCTGGCACCTCGGCTTCCTGCAGGAGCCGCAGCCCGGTGGTCGGGGCCGGGGCCCCGCGAAGCTCCAGCTCCAGCTCCAGCGTGGCGGGTCCGAAGGGCTCTGAACTCTCCCAGCCTCACCCCTCCGTCTAAGAGCTGCGCGCAGCCCTGCCCCACCCCTGTGCCCGGCCTCTCCCCGCGCCGCCTCCCGGGGCCGCAGGTGCACGCGGCCCCCCGGCGGCCGCACCTCGGGGCGAGGGCTCACATGCAGCCTCAGAGCCTCGCCAAGCCCCCAGGAGTAGCTGAGTCCCGAGGAAAAGCTTTACCAGACACACAAGATGAGCCCCCCCCCCCCCGGGTCACCTGCGGAGAGGAAGGAGGGGGAAGGTTTGGCCCTCACAAGCTACCCAAAGCCCTACCCTGACGCGTGAGCTTTTGAACGCGCTAATTGATCCTCAGGATGCTACTACCCACTCAGTCCACAACCCTGGAAGAGCAACAGAGACAAACACAGGTTCAAAGCTGCAGTTTCAGATAGAAGTCTCTTCCGATTCGGCACGTAGTTTGGACAAAGCATGGTGTATCAGATGGCTGAGTAAAGTTTTGCAAGCTGAGGTCTTTGCTTCTTCACTGGACGAGACAACTTTGATTAGTTTGGTGCTTATCCAACACCCCCCACCCCACCCCTTCACAGGCAGGGTACACAGCTCCATCCATGTGCAGTCATTAAGCCTTTCCAAATTACCCCAGTCGAATACAGCAATCAGCTTCCAACTCTCACTCTAAGGCTTTCCTTCCAGTCCCCATTTCTTGCAAAGACTCTCACAAAGGCCGCCATGGATCTCCAAAGCCACCGATTTGAGAGTTCCGGTGTGTGTGTGTGTGTGTGTGTGTGTGTGTGTGTGTGTGTTCTGAAACAGCAAAGTCATGACAACTAATAGGATTTTAAAAACCAGAGTCATGAGCTGTTTGGTGGCCCTGCTGCCTGAGAGAGAGTCTGGCAGAGGGATCACTTGAAAATCAGGTCATGGCCAGCCTGTACCACACAGTAAGAATTTGCCTCAAGTGTGTGTATTCACACGATGTGTATAAAACAACGAGAATCAGATATGTACGATAGAATTAGGGTTTGATATATATTTCATATTTGGTTGAAAGAAGACAAGTAAATAATCATTGGCTGCGTGAGTCAGCCTGTTAGGAAAAGCAATGTGAAGAAAGGGCCATGAGAACATCTAGGAAAGAGGAACTACATCTATTTGGGAGGCTTGAAGAAGGTTCCACTGAAAAGACATGTCTTTGGGATCTTTGTAGAATAATAGAATTGTCCACAGGGAAGTGAGTATTTCAAATGAAAAGTGTTAGGGAGCTGTGCGGAAGGTAGAGGGTGTGGAGCATCTTAAGTTGGACAGTGCCGAATGCTGGGAGAACACGCACACAGTAGGACCACAGTTCCCAGCTGTATAGGCTTTACAGGTTAATGGAAGAGACTGGAATAAAACAACCACACCCAAAACATACAGCTGTGCTTAGTACTAATACAAATGAAGGGACCCAGGAGTTGTGATTTCAGAGACCCACCTTGGCTTTGGGTGTTTAGGAAGGTGTCTTTAAGGAAAGTGCGGGTGCTGTAGACAAAGCTCGGTATGAGGTGATGCGGGAGACGTGAGAGCCACCGTGTAAAGAGCTCTGAATGACACACACCTAAGTCTGGTCATTAGCAATTCGTTCCTGTTGACCTACTGAGATTTAATACAACAATGAAACATTCTCCAAGAATGTCTGCCTTCGTGACAATTCCTCTTCCTCACCTCAAAGTGAGCTCATCCCATCCTCAAGAAGTCTTTCCCCACTCCTGTGGCACCCATGCTGTTGCCACCATCTTCCTGATCATCTCTGGGAAGACTCCGACAGCACACCTTGATACTTCCCTTTTTCTGTTTCCTCAGTTTATCTCAAGTTCTGCCAAAATTACTTCTATAAATAGTTCTAAAACTAGGCCTTTTCCCTATGAAAAGGTTGACCTGAAACATTTGGTTTAAAGATTTTATTGTGAAAAGGCTGAACTAAAAGAAATTTGGTTTAAAGATATAATTAGTTCCTTTTTTTTCCCTTCCCCTTTTGCAGTAAGATCTTACTGCGCAGCTCTGGCTGGCCTCAACTTCTCAACCTTTGGCTTCAGCTTGACAAGACTGGGATTATAGGTATAGGCCACTAGACCTGACTGTGATAGTCTCTGATGGGGTTTCTAGGATCCAACAACATCCAGTTCTGTAAGGAAAGAATTGGCGGTTAAGCCGGGCATGGTGGAGCACACCTATAACCCCAGCACTAAGGGAGCTGAAGCAACAGTCACATAGTCAAGGCCAGCTGAGGCAACAAAACAAAGAAGCAAGAAGCCCCCTCCCCCAGCAACTGCATGTTCAGGGAGCTGAGCAGACACAGTTGGCTTTATATACAGTAAAGTGCCAAAAACAGCAGAAACAGAGGAAAGCAAAGCAGTTCTTTTAAAGTTACTCATGGTAGACAATTAAGAGGCATCATCATCACACCTGCTGAGCCCACTATGAAATTGTGAAGTCAGACATGGCATCTGATTTGGCATCCAGCACATCCTGAAGGAGTACAATTCCTCACTCAAAAAGTTGGACCTGGTGGCGCACACCTTCATTCCCAGCACTCTGGATGCAGAGGCAGGCAGATCCCTGAATTCGAGGCCAGCCTGGACTTCAGAGGAAGTTCCAGGACAGCCAGGGATGTTACACAGAGAAAGCCTGTCTCATAAAAACAAACCAACTAAGGTAAGTCCTTCAAAGCTTTGGTAGATAAATCGTTGCATTAATTGAAGAATTAAACACAGCCAGGAAACTGGAGTAGTCCCTGGAATAGAGTGTCTGTGTAGCCAAGTATGAGCTGAAGCCTGATTACATGAAGCCAAAAGTACACTAATAAAACAGATATGCCAAGATGTCAGCTTCTAAGAGGCCAGCATGAATAAAAACAGCGTGGCTTAGTGAAGAGAGACAGGCGTTGGAGTCATGCAAATCTCAGACTGAATTCATGCTTCTTTTCTCTCAGCTTTAGCACTCAGGAGAAACCTCGTCTCTAGCTACCTCTCCCTCTATTAAAACAGTGCCCAGTAACCCCTTCCCACATCGCACATAAAGATTGTCCCAACCCATACTCATGAATCAGGCTTGAGTTGGAACTCACTCTTCTTGTCTAAGTGCCAAACAGGGCATGTGTACTGACAGTAGGCTTCCAGGTGCTGGGCCTGATGGAGACAGAGAAGGAGGAGGTGAATCTCAGTTACAGCCTGGCATGCACTTCAGAGAGCCTCCTTTCTCCTCTGAGACAGAGGAGCATCTCTAATCTTCTCCATGAAGAAATTTATCAACAATATCCACACTAAGTCATGTAGCAAATAAGTTTCATTGATGAACTGGTAGGTTTAGAAATTGTTGTAAAGTTCTTGAGAGAAGCTGAAAAAAAGAACATGGATTGTGCGCACCATTTTTACAGCTACAGTGTGAAGGGAGACACTACTCATTTTGTTGGAACCCAGAGTAAGGGTGAAACACCCAAAAGATAAAATATGACGATATTCTTGGCTAATTTCTGAAGGAGAGATGTTGAGCTCACTCTTAAAAATAAGACAACTAATGACCCAAGAGTCTAAGTTTAATGCAAATATTTGTGAAATTTTAATAATTATAAATGTATTTATATCATATGTCACAGTATTCTACTCAAGCTGTTGTACAAAGCCATATAAACAATGAATGCCATTATATGTAGATGTAATAACTTCACAAGCACACTCCTACTCTTTACCTGTGTTAGGTCTGAAACCCAAGGCAAAGCTCATGCAGTAACCATGGCAACCTCCCCAGCTCTGCCAGCATCCTTCAGTACCTGTGGTCCTTCTAGCACTTCTCACCTCGCCCCTGAACCCAAACTTCTCTCTCCCAGGGGCTGGGTTCTGCCCCCTGCAACCCAACCCCTGCCTTCATCATGTAACAGTCCTTTGGCTTCAGGCCACCTTTCTTAGTCAGCAGCTCCTCCTTTGCTCTTTCTCCCCATCTCTCCTCTTGTGGTCTGGTTTAGTCGGGCAGCCATGTTCAGCCTGGACTCTGCCTGCTTTCTGCCTTAAATCTAAAATAAAAACCATTTCCATAGTTTAGAGTTAGTCACGTCTTCCTCCTTTTACTTCATTTTTTTCATTCAAAGAGGAGATAAAACTACAATTGATTAGGTGGAAATAGTCACAATTGATTGGAGTGCCTGAACAGGAGGTGGTCAGGGGGCAGAGCCTAGAACTGCTGGTGTTTTGGCAGAACCTTCAGCAGCCAAACCCACCTTTCTCCCTGCTGAGCAAGCAGCAAACAGGCCCTCTCTCAGTCCCAGCTTGTCCTCCAGAGGGAGCTCACAGTAAAATCACCCACAGAGAGCACAGCTCCACCTGCCTGTCAATGAGCCTCTGCCCAGCAGGGGTGCCTGTTGTCTGCATTTGTGTGGCTCCTCAGCTCTGCCTGAGCTTACACCAACTGAGCTTAAAGGTCAGTGCTCAGGCCCCACTGAGACAGTGAGTGGCCATGTCAGTGGACAGTGCCGGGCAGAGGTGATCTGGGGACACTGCAAGGTAATTCTTCACCAGTTGAGGTTAAAATCCACAGAACCCAAGGCTTATTTCTAGCCCTGGGGACAAGAGGACACTGCAATCACGTTTTTGCTTGGTCCTTTCTGGTCCTGGAGCTGATGGGTTCTTGAGGGGCAGAAGCAGATGGCACTTTGCCCTCCTTCAGGATTGCTAAACACTTGTCTTATCCCAGGCCAGAGAAAAGCACTTTGCACCCCAGGATAAAACAAACAAGCACAGCGGTATCTGCTTCTGATCTAAGATTCCCCC